AACATTCATTTTTAATAGTTTACATTAACAACTACATTTCATTTCAATTTTTCTTTATTTTGCAAATCTATGCTATCTATAGTTATTATAGAATAATATTAATATTAATATTAATAGGAAAAATTGAACTAAAAGAAGAAGATCTTATCGATTCAATAAAATGGAAATTCCCAATTGCTTAACTTTCCTTTTTAATAGCATGAACGTGGAAATGTGTATAATAAATTTTGTTAAAAATATATGTCGAAAAAAAGTAGTTCGGTGAAAAAGAAGGAAAAAAGATCGGGGACCACCCTCAATGAACTTTTCACAAGTTTTCTGCACGTGGCCATCTCAGCCCCCTTTGGTCATGCACAAAAGGGTGCCCTTGTATTATAATAATTCGTTGAAGATTCTTGGATCCGGTTGCGGCATGGAGATTCACAGAAGGGTGATTCGAATTTGAAATTACCATCATTGATTATAAATTAAGCGAATTTATAAGATCAAGATTGATCGATAAAAGTCTCCATTTTTTTAAATTAATCGTATTATTAGGAAAATTATCCGAATTAAAAGTACTGGTTGAAAGGCACTTGTTGCAATTAGAGATTGGTTGTCTGACTTTATCGTGCACCAAAATACAATTATATGGTAATTCTTGTTGCATAATTATGCAAAGACTTTTCCTATTTTAATCTTTAAAGATATTTGAAAAATGAAAATTTCATTGATTTTTTTTTAATGACAATATTATTATTAATTTGCATGAGAATATTAATACAAATATAAATAAATTATATAATTCAAGAAAGAAGTAAAAAAAGCTCATAAGTAATTAACTTTTTAGATAAATAGGAATCTTATATTTAATTTTATTTATATGTACTTTATTTTTTGGAAAATATACTCACATTATTTCCTTCTTGTTTTTTTTCCACTTCTCTAAAACAATATACTTTATATGAATCATCAAATAGTATCTAAAATTTTAAAATTATGAATAATATAAGATTAAATTTAATTTTCCATACTTTTCTTTTTTCTAAATTTTATATTTTAAATTTTACTTACTAAATTTAGTCACTCAATCTCTTTCTTTACATATTTTAATCCTTTAGAAACAAGTATCAGCAGACAACCATCTAAAATTTTCAAAATCATGAATGTTCCATATAAAATTAAATTTAATTTTCCATATAAACTATTTTAAATTTAATTTTTTCTTAATTTGAAAATCCTTTAATTAACAAAATTTCTCTGTTTAAGGGATATACCTGGAAAAATCTGTGGCGCGTGTTATGATGCAAAAGCACCCCCACGATGCGTGACCAAAGGGTGTTCAGGGGATGCTTTGACCCCCTGTCACGAAACAACGGTGAAACCGTATCGGCATAATTACACGGATGGCGTTAGTGTCACATATCCTGAACAATGGCCAGTGAATAGGATGGAACAGGAGAGGGAGAGAGCGTTAGAATGGGGTGGATGCACCTGCAAGGAACCATATTTCATCCGGGGAACGGAACACCGACTTTTGTGCCTTTATACGCCGTGAAATCGCGAGGGTCACTAGGTTTCCCTAATTTCTATTATGCCCGAGATAAGACCGTGCTAAATGTCGACTGTCATCGGGGGATACACCCTCTCCTTTAACTAGGTGATACTGCAATTATATTTTTCCTTTTCTATCAGATTTTTCTCGTAGAAATTTTTCCTTTTTACCACCATTAATAGATTATTTTTAGTTTTAGTATAATTTAAAAAAGATTTTTATCTTTCTATTTTGATGAAAATTCATAAGATTTTTTCTTTATATGTGGATATTGTTTAGAAAGATTATTTCTTAAATTTTTGCTTCCTTATCTGGGAATGTTTTATGAAAATTGTCTATTTTTATCTAGAAGAATATTTTAAATATATTTTTCTTAATAGACATGTATTAGACATTTTGATATATTTAATTTCTTTTTAGAAATTTTTCTTATTTCTGTTTTATTTTTTAATAAGTATTTATAGTTATTGCTTTTTGTTAATTTTAATTTTTTGCAGGTTTTCTACAATTCTTTCAACCGCAGATTATTATTATTATAGTTGGTTAATCGAACTTGAGAATAGCTGGAAGCTAGATGAATGTGTATCTCGAAGAATTGACATATTGAACATTGAGAGGTGTTTGCTGATTCATCGTCCATACTATAGAAATCATATTTGGTAAATAAAAAGTCTAGGGTTTCTTTTGTTTCTGTTCTTCGATCAGGATAAGTAGTCTTTTGTATAATGCTCTTCAACGTTCGTAAAAAATCAATTTCGAAAATTTATTTTTCAATATTTTAGAAATGAATCATGCTTAATAATAATCTTCTATTTCTTAAAACAACAATTTAGAAGAAGAAGTAATTAATTTATTTCAAAAATAGAGTATATATAACTCAAAAAAGCAAACCAAGATATCTATCTTCTCTCTCAAAATGAACAGTTTCAATCATCAACTCTCCAAGATCCCATAGTTTCCCAAACTGCAGAGAAACAGAAAAGAAAGAAAGGAAAAAACCAATTTCAAAAGAAATATCTCCACTTCTACAAAATGAAAAATCACCAATTTTCCAAGATTTCCAAGAAAAATAGAGAAAAGTATTCATAATACCTTTACTTCTTCAAAATGAAGAACACCGACCATTAAAGAAATCATAGCAAAAGAAAAAAAATTGCAGAAAAATTCAAGATATCTTCCTTCTCTCAAAATGAACAACACAAATCATCGATTCATCTTTCACAGTTTCCAAGAAAGGAATGAAAAAAAATAAAACAAGTTAAAGCAAATCCAAAAGAAATACTTTCTCCTGTTGAAGAACACCAATCAAGAAACCGATTTCCCATGATGTATCCTGGCCAATATCGCCAGACTCGAAGGATGTTCCCCGTATTTTGAAAGTACGAGGAGGCGCAGCGTATCGAGTATTTGGCCGTTTGTCAGTCCGCGTAAATACGCGACAATGCCCTCCCTTTGTGCGGCCCGTCTATCGTCGATGTTTGCCAAATAAAAGCCTATATACGGTGGGGGCCTCTTTGTCTCTCCGCGCGCGCTCTCTCCCCCATCGCCACGCGAATGATACGCCTAGTTGCCTATGAAACCGGCGGCCCCTTTACAAAGGGGGGCATCGAGACGAGAGACGGGTAAACG